CACAGAGAGGTTAGGTAATGGTGCCAGAACCACACAGCTGCGCATTGGTGGGGCCGGGATGCGAAGCCAGGGGAGCAGCCCCAGCGTCCACACTCTTGGCATCTCTAGATGCCCCCGTGCCGTAGGTGGACACAGCTGTGGTCCGTATACAGTGGGCCGCCACGCCTCGGTGAGGACCATGACCTAGAGCTGTGTTTTGGCATCCACACGTGGCAGACATGTCACGATGGGTTAGCAAGCCGGTTGTAGAAGGGTATGGAGACCAGGCAAGATGGGGCCGGGTGCTGTTTGTGAATGTGAGTGGGAGTGTGCACCCACCGCCTGTGTAATAACGCCACATTCAGGGCCTGTGCAGAGGGGGAGGGCGTCCCGAGCGGCGATTTCATCTCCGTGGTGTCAGCTGACTGTGTCCCCAACCCGCCATGTGTCCTGTCGTTGCAGGTGATCTTCAAGGCCAAGTCGAAGTACTCTCCAGAGTTACTCAAGTACCGGTAAGTGCTTCCCGGGGGAGCAGGTGAGCGGCTCCGCGGGGGCCGCCCCGACAGGCAGCAGGGTTTCTGGGTCTCGAGGCAGGTTCCTGGGGCGAGTGTGCACGAGTGTGTGTGTGTGTGTGTGTGTGTGAGCATGCACAAGTGTGCATGTGTGTCTGTGTGCACGAGTATGAGAATGTGTGAGTGCATGTATGTGCAAGTGTGCATGTGTGAGTGTGCACGAGTGTGTGTGTGTGTGTGGGAATGTATGTGAGTGCATATGTGAATGTGTACATGTGTGACTGTATGTGTGTGTGAATGTATGTGTGAGTTTATGTGCATATATATGTATGTGTGAGTGTGTGTGTGTATGTGTGAATGTATGTCTGAGTGCATATGTGAATGTGAGTGTGTGAGTATGTATATGTGGGTAGGAGTGTGTATATGTGAGTGTGATAGAAATCTCCAGTCAGGAGTCTGAAATCTTACGTTGGAAATGATGGTGGAAGTGTGGTCATTGGGAACTGGAGGAGGAGCGTTAGGAGCTAAGCGTGGCTGTGGCCATGGCCGTGGTGACCGCGATGGCCTGCTAGTTGGCACGTGGTCTGGACCAGGACAGAGATGACCTGGTCATACAGGAGCCATGGCCACAGGAAGAAGGGGTGCGGGGGAGCCCAGTGACTTGGCCACTTCGGGGCAAGAGGAGGAAGAGGAAGCAGGGGCTCCCGGGGACGGCTCGGAGCAGGGGGCGGCGGGGAGCTCAGGTTGGGGAGATGGCGCCGCGAGGGTTACACCCTTGAGCTGGCCAGTCGGTCATGGGCCTGAGAGATCGGGGTTGGTGGGGGACCGTGGACCCCATGGAGGAAGCTGTTCTCTAGAATTTGCTGTTGGTGAGAGGAGAGGCTCTGGGTGAGGAGAGAGGCCACAGCCCCATGGGAGTCGCTGTTATTTAGTGTTTTCAGTTGATGACACCGAGGCTCACGCAGGTTGATGTTGCCCAGGTTCCCAGGGGGCGGGGTGGTGAGCTGCTCGTGGAACCAGCTCCGAGCTGAGCCCGTGCTCCGGGCGAGTCCTCGTTCACAGTGACGTCCGTGGCATTCGGTCCTCAGGCCACCCGGGGCCGGGCGTGGGGCTCCAGAGCTCAGGCATCTTCCTAAGGGCACAGCCTGCAATTCGAGTCCTGGACCGCTCGCCTCCAGAGCCCACCACCGAAGTGTTTGTCGCCCGGCCAGTGTCGCTCAGTGGTTGAGCATCGACCTATGAACCAGGAGGTCACAGTTCGATTCCTGGTCAGGGCACATGCCTAGGTTGCAAGCTCCATCCCCAGTGTGGGGCGTGCAGGAGGCAGCCAGTCAGTGGTTTTTCTCTCATCATTGATGTTTCTCTGTCTCTCTCCCTCCCTCTCCTTTCTTCTCTGAAATCAATAAAAATATATTTAAAAGAAACAAACTAACAAAAAAGCCCTAGTTGGTTTGGCTCAGTGGATAGAGCATCAACCTGTGGACCAAAGGGTTCGAGTCCAGTCAAGGGCAGGTACCTCGGTTGCAGGCTCCTCCCCTGCCCGGGCCTTGGTCGGGGGCGTGTGCAGGAGGCAACCCATCGATGTGTTTCTCTCACATCGATGTTTCGCTCGCTCTCCCCCTCTCCCTTCCTCTCTAAAAATCAATGGGAAAATATCCTCGGGGGAGGATTAAAACACAGACAGACAGAAGTGTGTGTTAACGTTGGCACGTCCTGCTTCACCATAAAAATACCAGTGTTCTTCCGGATTGGCCCAGACTGGGCAGCGGTGGTGCCCTAACCTCTTCCCCTCCCAGGCTGCCCCTGTACCTGGCCTCGCTGCTCATCAGCCTGGTGTTCCTGCTGGTGAACCTCACCTGCGCGGTGCTGGTGAAGACGGGGACCTGGGAGAGGAAGGCCATCGTCTCCGTGCGCGTGGCCATCAACGACACCCTCTTCGTGCTGTGCGCCGTCTCCCTCTCCGTCTGCCTCTACAAGATCTCTAAGATGTCCTTGGCCAACATCTACTTGGAGTCCAAGGTGAGGGTGCAGACGGCCCCCAAGAGCCGTCCTTCCGCCGGGTCTAAAAATAGCGGCCGGGTCGGTGCTCTTCACACCTGACCTGCCAATGATTAGCCACACGCCGCGACGGCCCAGACGGGGAGGGACGGAGGCCACTGAACTTGGTGTGCGAGACGCGTTCTGTGTGGGGGGCTGGGGGCAGCGGAGCGTGCAGGATGGATGAACTCCTGGCCTGGAGGTGCCATGGTTGTAACCACCGTTTTACTTCATTTATTTTTTTAAATACCTTTTTATTGATTTCAGAGAGGAAGGGAGAGGGAGAGAGAGATAGAAACATCAATGATGAGAGAGAATCATGGATGGGCTGCCTCCTGCATGCCCCTCATTGGGGATCGAGCCTGAAATCTGGGCATGTGCCCTTGACCGGAATCGAACCCGGGACCCTTCTGTCCATAGACCAATGCTCTATCACTGAGACGAGCCAGTCAGAGAGACAAGCACCACATGATCTCACTCCCGTGTGGAACCTAAGGAAAAAATAAACTGATGAACAAAAACGGACCCAGAGACAAAGAGACAGTCAACCAACCGCCTGCCTTTCCTGTTCTGGCAAATGGCCCAGCCTTCCCTCTGAGCTATTATGCTAAGCAAAATGAGCCAGTCAGAAAGACAAGCACCACATGATCTCACTCCTATGTGGAATCTAAGGAACAAAATAAACTTATGATCAAAATAGATCCAGAGACATAGATGCATGGAACAGACTGATGAATCTCAGAGGGAAGGCTGGGATTGGGGGT